CATCTGAGGGGCAAAATCCAATATTGTGAAAAAATAAATAAGGATCTTAAAAAAAAAAGTTCCAATGTAGTAAGAATGCTAGACCTCCATTTGAGGTTAAGAAAGAATCTATGATATTTAGTCATATGTGTTTTGTGTGTGTGCTTTGCTTAAATGGACTTTTTGAATCAGAATTTGAGCTGAGGATTCAATATTAGTAAGAGTAACATTCTAGACAGAAGTATTATATTATCCACTCAAGATTTACTAGAAGGTAAACAAAATCCTATACTGTGACTGTTAGCTCACTATCCACCTTGTTCTCCAAGATGTTAGATAATGATCAAAGCAAAGAAAAAAATGGAGAGCTGTTATTAGTGTGGTGATCTATTGTAATAGTGTTACAGTTCCATGGGGATCCCTTCCTCACAAGGGAGGCATTGAATTGAATGCCAAGAGAGGGAGAGAAAAGGAAAATCTTTGAGACAATGGGGAGAAGGGTTTCACCAGAGAGAGAAAAAACATCTCATTCCCATCTCTATTGCTTGCCAACCTGCAAAAATTCAAAAGTCTCCAACCTTGCAGTTCTTGCAACAGAATGTGGATGTGATCTGTGTTCTCTAGAACTCAGGGGAATAGAATGTGGTGTTTGCCTCTTGCCTGGAAAAGATAGTCAGACATTGCCTAGAGGAACCTGGAATGGCAGAATGACAAAAAGGGGGCTGCAATAGGAATAGCCTATTGTTGGGGCAATGATGCCAGACTTTTCCATGGACAACTGGTCTTCTTTGAAGGTAATCAGGTTAGTGCCATTTTGAAAACATCTCGCCCCAGAGGTCTGCCTGTGGGGCAAAAAACCTTGGCAGAAACATTCTGAGAGAGGAAGGGAACCATAAGACTATAATTAAGAGAGCCTGAGAAGAAGCCCAGCCAAATGGGCATCTCCCATAACAAAGAGTAGTAAGAGAACAGAGTACAGAAATCCCTGAGTGAACAGAGAGTGTTGGAAAATCCTACAGAAGCATCCCATGTATAAAAAAGCCAGCATTAAGTATACCACCCAGAAACACTGGGTAATGATGATGATGATTACTTAGCACCATGTCCTTTTCCCTCTGAGCAAGACCCTCTCATCCTACCCTCTGGAGTCCAGTCCTGGAGGAGCCAGGAGCAGAAGGTTTCTGTATAGGAACCAGAGGAGTGGGATCAAGGTGGAGGATAGCCAAGAGCCACAACCCATACTCCTCTTTCTCCCTGCAGTTTCTGAATCAGGGTTAAGCCTAAACTCAGGCAAGGAAAGAAATTTTAAACTGCAAGTTATAAGGAACTTAAAATAAATGATTTATCTATGCATATAAGAGCTGGAGGTGGAGATGAGAGGATCCATGAGAGAGGGAGTGGGGAGCAGAACAGGCAGATATACTGAAATACACTGCTGAGAGGAGCAGTGGGTAGGACAGGAGATGTCTGCTGCGCCATGTCCTTGGCTAGAAATCTAATTGGTGTTACAATGGTACTAACTGAGCTGCAGCACTGCTGATGGCTCGATAGTGCTGAGACATAACCATTTGTGCCAACAGGGAGCCCCTAGGAGGAACTTTTGATTTTGATAAAATTGGCCTTTTAAAATACATTAAAAGATAAGATTATTTTAACATCTAAACTGGCTTGTAAAAGTTATAGGAGCTAAAAAAAAAAAAGGGGGGCTGCCTAAAACATCAAGGGCTATATGAGGAGCTCTGTAGAGTGAGTTTAAAGGGCTTGTATTAGAGGAAGAATAAAGTTAATTTTCTGATTTCACCCCCATTTAGTCTAACCCATTTGATATATCACTGCATATGCTTTAAACATTCTTTTTTTTTTTTCTTTAAGATTTATTTATTTGTGCAAACAACTGGGGTACAGGCCAGAGGTGCAGCGGCAGTGAGAGGATTCACCAGAGACAGAATGGAGAGCAGAACAGGCAGATAGAGGAAGTGTACTGCTGGGGGGAGCAGCAGGCGGGTTAGGCGAGGTCTGCCACACCATGTGGATCACCTCCATCACCTCCGGGGCAGGCGGGGATCGAACTCATGTGGAAGTGGCTTTAGCTTCTTAGTGTTGTGCTTTAACCTGCTGCCACCAGGGAGGGCCTGCTTTAAATATTCTTAAAATGCTAAACAAGAAACGCTTGTTTGACTCAAGTTATGTTATTAGGTATCATATGATAGAGGACTTTTTATATCCAGTCTTACTCTTTATATGTTGTACAAAACACATAAACCACTCTTAAAATCTAAGCCCTTTTAAATATGAAAATGATACATTTTAGCCTAACAAATTTATAAAACTTTTCGCTTAATGCATTATAGTATCTTTCTGAGAATCCTCTTCTTCACCTTTAACACAGTTAACTCTGCCTACGTGGCCTAGTCAACTAGGATTAGGTGGAGTGCCCTGACCACTCGTTTACCTACAAGGCACCAGAATCTATTGGTATCTAGCTGGGGAAGTGTACTAGAGAAGAGGTAGCCCAAGAGGGAAGCCCCGGTCAGGCTCACAGACCTAGGAACATCCCAGGTGCATACCTTAACCCGTCCAGTCAGTCCTTCAGACACACATAAATCATTACAAGGCGTTCCCAATGCAAACAAGCTCATGTTTAGATTGTTTCATTTTTCACTGAGGTGTTCATTCATCCTATTGTTGATCTCTCATTGAATACATTCAGAGACCCAATATTATGAAGATTCATAGGTACTATATTGATAAGTAGAAAATAAAATGCTGATAATGTCATGAAAAGGAAATTTTCTTCAATGGCTTCCAAGAATTACTTTACTTAAATGATTTAATGTCCTTTCCTATCCAATCATTGGTATGTTGGCCTATATATTCATGCAAGCTCATGATTGTGGTATTGTTTCTTTTCTTCAGTTTGGAAAGTGGACACTTCATCTGTCACTCTACCAAAGAGACAACTGGAATCCAAGAAAGAACAAGTTCTCAAGACCCATGGAACAATACCTGAAGGTCGCAGATCTTTGGATGAAAACAAAAGAACATTCTGTCTCTGTTTGCAATTTTTTGTCCTTAATTTCTTCAGAGGGAAAGTTTATGCATTTCTCTATATTTACTTTTCATAGAAACAATGCTTACAGAGCTATATACTCCAAGGTAGGGGAGGAGAGAGAAGAGGAGGGCCACCTCTTGCCATTAGCTCTGGGAGATACTGAAAAGGCAACAAAGCAAAGTGTCAGAAGCAGAAGCTGCACTTCCACCTTGACCAGCTTAACCAGTGGTAGGATGTTCTTGTGGCCTTTGCTCAGAGGTTGCAGAGGTCTCTTTATATACAAGCACCTGTTGGGGTGAACTGCTATGTTGGCTATCCCCAGCAATATCATTCAGTCCTGTTTTACACTGACAGAGATCCAAAACAAGGGTGCTTGCTTTTTGCCCCATATCTAGGCAAGACCATTTAGCAGCAATTGTGGCAGCTGGCTCTCCAAACTTGGCAAGGCCACCCACAGATGAAAAGAAGAAAGATCAGAAAGTCAACAAGAAAGACAAAGTCCCAGTGAATACATCCTGGGGCAAGACCAACAACAAATGGACTGAATGCAAAGTTGGGAACAAGCTCAATCCTCTAGTCTTGTTTAAGACAGCCACATATGACAAACTCTGTTAGGAAGTTCTCAACTCAAAGTGTATAAACCCAGCTGTTGTGTCTGAGAAACTGAAGACTTGAATTTCCTTAACCAGAGAAGCCTTTCAGGAGCACTTTAGTCAAAGGACTTACTAAACTGGTGTCAAAACACAGAATTCAAGTAATTCCCAACAAGAGTGGAGTTGTCCCCAGTTGTTGGTGATGATGCTGAACAGGTACCATCAACTGCATATTTTGAAAAATAAAACTTGAATGAAAAGAGAAACACCAGACAAGGTGACGACTAAGGACAAGGAGTGCCAAACATGGGGAACATAGGATGTGAGCAGTAGAGGGAAAAAGCCAAGAAAACAACACTCATTTCTGGCAGCAGAATCCAGACCCATGTGCCCTCCCTGGTGGCACAACTGCTTAAAGCACAGCACTGTGAAACGATCTGAAACCACTGCAGCACAAGTTCAATCCCCAGCCAGGGAGGTGACCCACATGGTGCAGCAGGCCTCTCCTGACCTGCCAGTTGCTCCCCTCAGCAGTGTACTTCATTAATCTGCCTGTTCTGCTCCCCACTCTGTCTCTGGTGAATCCTTTCATTGCCCCCACACCTCTGGCCTGTACCCCAGCTGCATAAATAAACAAAAATCTTAAAAAAAAAAAAAAAAAAGTATCCAGACCCATGACCGGAAGCCTGGGTAACTTGAGTGCCAGAAGTCAATGCCAGGCAGCAGAAGGGGAAAGGTGATGAGGAAAGATAGAGAAAAGAATAAAGAATATATGTCAAAAAGTTGACTGAAAAGAAAAAAAAAAAAACACAGCGGCAAAAAAGAAACTTGAAGCAGAGGCAATTTCTATTTTGGACAGGAAGTCGGCTTCCTCTTTCAGCAGGGTCTTACTCAACTTAAGGAACGTGACAGGCTGGGTTGTGCCACGGAGCACCCCAGAGGTACTGTGTGAGGGAAGTAGCTACCACAGTCATTAACCTGGATTTTGGAATCTGAGTATGAAGATAAAGGCAGCTCCTATACACGCTCCCTCTGGCTAGTCCAACTCATCACAGGACTGCTGGGGAAGGAAATTGCAGAAAGCTGAAACCTAACAATTCATTAACATTACAAAAGATCATACTTTGAAAGGTAAGGACCGGAAGCTCTCCATAATCCTATAAATTATTCCTGTTTATGGAGTGCTAAAAGCACAAGTTCCAGACATATATAAATAATATATTCATATAAATAATTGAAAACACAAGGAAAATTACATAAGCAGGAACGTGTCTAAATTTAGCAAGGCCCATGGCTTTAAGAACCAGTACAAACTGTGTTTCTCACTAAACCCCACCCCCTCATCTAGGAGAAAATCAAGATGAGAAATACTTTACTGAATCATGTGAAGTTGGCCACAGCATTTCCTTTTTCTGGTTTTCAGTTTCCACACCTAAAAAAAAAAAAGTGTGAATAAATGAGCTCTAAAATTCTTTCCAGCACTGACATCATATTATTTCCTAAAAAATTACCTAAATACTCACCAGCGAAAATCCTGTTTACACTTTTATTACTCAGGGTATAACTTGTTTGGGGCTTAATTTTCTCTTTAGTGCCAAATCCCCTGTGACATCTCTGAGCATCCCAAGCATCCTGTAATTCTAATTTTATAATTCATGACTTGAACTATCCTTAAGCAGCAATTTCTCTAGTAACATTGGCTATCTTGGTTTGGTATTATTTAAGCTAACAAATTAGTATTTTTGTCTAAAATAGCATACTATAACTACAAATTTATTTCATGAATTAGATAATTGACTCCCCCTTCTCAAGACAGTAGTTTATTGTCTGTTTTCTCCAGAGGAAGATGTTATACAGTACAAAAGTTCTGATGTAAATTAAATAAATGGGGCTTATTTTCTAAGTTGTATAAAATGCCGAAGGAGGCTGCTCTCCCTGGTCTTCTCCCTTAGCAATGGTAACACTTGATTCCAGGGATAGGTCATTAAACAGACACTAGTAGCACTGAAAAAGGAAAATCTGGGTGAGCTTGGCATAGTTTTCTTTCTCTAGGACTCTGTTTAGACTCAGAGATAACAGGCAGATCATAACAACTATCATTTATTGAATAGTGACCACATAACAAGTACACACATTATCACTAATTTTATAACAATTTGGCAATGTAGATACTATATAATATTAAGCACTAGTGCTATGATAATTGGTATTTACGGATACTAATGTACTATAGATTTTTTATGTAAGAAACTAATTGTATTGTTTATTGTTATTGAGGTAACATTAATTTAGAACACTGTGCAGTTATCAGGCATATAGTTTCTCAGCTTTGCAAGGGTATCCAAAGGTTTAGTAACCAGCCATCACCAATCAGTTGATCTCCTCTACCTGCCCCAAACTCTCTAACTTCCTCTTTGGTAATGACCACTCTGTTGTCAGAGTGCAAGAATTTGGTTTTATTTGTTCATTTGTTTTATTTCATTATATTCCAAAAATGAGTGAAGTCATCCATTATTTGTCTTTCTTCTGACATGTTTCACTTATCTTAGTTCCTCCAAGATCCATTCATGTCATTGCAGTGACAAGATTTCATCTTTTGTTAAAGCTGGGTATTATCCCTTTGGAAATGATGTTCTGATTGGTTAAAGCAATTCTTTATCCAATCACTGGCCATCAACAGACACTTGGGTTGTGTCCATGTCTTGGATACTGTGGACAGTGCTACAGTGAGCATGGGGTACAAATATATTTTTGAAAAAAATGCTTTCATATTCTTTAGGCAAAAACCCAGAAATGGGACTACTAGATCACATGGTCGCTCTATTTTAAATTTTTTGAGGAACCTCCTTTTTTTCCATCATGACTATGCCAATTTATATCCCCATTAATAGTGCATGAGGCTTCCTTTTTCTCCACATCCTTACTAACACTTCTTATTTCTTGACTTTTTTTTTAAAGAGTTTCTCTTTTTATTTTACTTTTCAAAGGTTTATTTATTTATGTATACAAGAACTGGGGTATAGCCCAGAGGTTTAGGGGTGAGAAGATTTACCAGAAACAGAGTGGGGAGCAGAAAAGGCAGATCTACTGAAATACACTGCAAAGAGGGACAGCAGGCAAGACAGGAGAGGTCTGTTGCACCTTGTGGGTCAGCTCCCAGGCTTGAGTATCAAACTCCAACTTGTACCGCTGTGCTGGTGACAGCTTGATAGTGCTGTCTTTAACCCTTTTGCCACCAGGGAGGCCCCCTATTTCTTGACTTTTTGATAAGAGTCATTTAAACTGGTGTGAGGTGAGATCTCACTGTGGTTTTCATTTCCCTAGCTTTAAAGGATGCAGAACATCATTTCCATATGTCTGTTGGCCATCGTTTTAAATCTTCTTTAGTGAAATGCTGGCTTATATCCTCTGCGCATTTTTAAATCAGATTGTGTTTTTTTTGTTGTTTCTTGAGTTTAGATACATTTTAGATATTATTATCCTTGCTATTAAGTTAGTAACATTTGTATTAATCATGAACTCTCAATGCTTAAGTAACTTGTCTATGGCCACATAACAGATAGAACTAAGATTTAAATCTGAGTCTCATCTGACTCTAGAATTTTCACACTACTTCAGAGATCCTTCTCAAGACAATGGTAATCCTGCTGGCTCTAGAGTCAGAATACCTGGGTTCAAATCCTAAGTCTAGAATTTTTATTAGCTCTATAGTCCTAAACAAGTTTCTTAGCTCCTTGGGGCCTTTGTTTTCTCTGTTGATTGTACTTACTCCATAGTTTTAAATGGTGCCATATTGCAGTAACACAATAATTCCGCTGTGAGCATTTAGTGCTTTGATTTGCATGTAATAAGCATTCAGTGTATGGTGATGGTTATTATTGTTTTTATATTGTGCTCCCACTAGAAGCAAACTAATTCAAGTTCTGCAGTGAAACACAATCTTTGCTAGAGTAGCCACAAATATAGGTGCTTAGTTAATGTTTGTGAAGATCTCTATGATTTGCCTAATATGTATATTCTGGGTAAGAGACTTCTATTTTTACTTTTACCTATATATTGTAGATTGAAATTAATTTTTTTTCTTATATGTGTGTGTGTATATGCATGTATACTCAGTAATATATATAGTATCTATGATTACATTTATACAGCAATATATGTACATGTATGTTTATCGGTTAGCATTTATAAACATTGATTTACTTCTGTGATGCCACAGTGCCACAGAAATATTCATTCCAGAAGTTATCATATAATATGAAATAGCACTTATGTATCTGAATTTGCTTATCAAGTATTTAATCCATAAGTACTTTGTACTTTGAAGATTGCCAAATCATGGCTTTGAGGATTACCAAGATTAGTTTTGGGAGTGAGACACACACACACACACACACACACAGATATCATTTGTTTGCTATGCATTTGTGATTATACTATGTTCATCAGCTGAATTTCTGGGAAGAAAACAATTATTCTTACAGTATACCCATCTTGTAATTGATAAATATAAATGGTGAGCAACAAATTATTCCTTCCCAAAACTCTTTAGTCTAACAGAAAAATTAAATAACCCATAAAGTATTTGGTTCCCTATGCTATTCACATTTAAGGAAGCAATCAAATCCATAAAATATCGCCAAGACTGGTCAGTCACTTTTGAACCATACAAATCACAGATGTTTGAGGCATTAGTGGTTATGACCCTGAAGAGAAAAGTGGGAATCCTATAAAATGGAATACAATAACTTTATTCTGAGTAGCATCCGCTCAGTTCAAGAGACAATCAGGCATGTGAAAACAATGACCTTAAGACCTTGACGGTTCCCTCTCCCTAGAAATGCTCTTCCTATAGATAGCCACACAGCTAATTTTCTTTCTCCTTTTAAGTCTCTGTTTATATATTATCTTCTCAACAGGCTTGCCCTGATCAGTCTTTTTAAAATTGCAACACCTTTCCCTCAACCCTCTTGATTCCTTTTACCCTACTATACTGTTTTATTTTTCTGTGCTATTTAATTGACTTATTTATAGGGTTAGTGTCACACACTAAAATGTAAATACCACAAGTGCAGGCATATTTATTTCATTCATTACTGTATCTCAAGACCCTAAGATATACTAGGTACTCAATAAATATTTGCTGAAATGATGTTTCTATAGATGAAATTGACAATTTTTTTTTTTCAGAGAAGAGACACTGTTCAATGAAGGGATTTTCCTAATAAAATATAAAAAAGTTGACCCATTACAAACACAAAATTCCTTTGAGAGGAAAGAAGAGTGAAAAATAAAATCTATTTTAATATATGTATGCCTACTGTGGTGATCCAGTCATAAAAGTTTGTTCATTTCAAGTAACTGTCAAACTAAATCACATTCGAGTTACTCCAATTATTTCCCCAATATATCTTCAATTTGGGGTGATGTCGTCTAATCTTCACACCATTACATCTGTCTCAAATTACACTGCAAGTCTCCAAACTTGCTTCAGTGGTCATTTTCAATGGCCTCATGTGGAACCCTAACATTCCACTGGAAGGTGTTATAAAACATTACACACTAATAGCCCAAGTATAGTGATAAATAGTTGCTCTCACACCCCCAACACTTTAAGAATTTAGCATCTTTGTCTGTTATTTTCTCCAGATTGCACCCATTCTTACCTCATCACAATTAAAGATGATGTTTCTAGTGTGATTAGAGTTTTCTACCTTGTTTGACAAAATACTGATGTTGTAAAATGAGAAGAAATAAGCTATTATGTAAGTACAACTTCCTACCTTTATTTTCCCTTCTCCAATTTTTTTATACACACCTTCCCCTAAAAGTGAATAGCTGGGCCCTCCCTGGTGACATGTTGGGTTAAAGCACAGCACTAAGAAGCTAAAGCCACTTTAGCAAAAGTTCGATCCTCAGCCCCAGAGGTGACCCACATGGTGTGGCAGACCTCTTCTAAACTCTCCTGACCTATCACTGTTCCCCTCAGCAGTATACTTCGACAATCTGCCTGTTCTGCTCCCCACTCTGTCTCTGGTGAATCCTTTCACCACCCCTGTACCTCTGTCTTGTACCCCAGTTCTGTATGCATAAATAAACAAATCTTAAAAAAAAAATAAAGTTGAATAACTGCAGTTACAAATCAGCCTGTTATCACTTGTCATGTACTGTACATTTGTAAATATTAATTACTATTGATAGATATGATTTACTTTTTTAAAAAAAGATTTATTTATTTGTGCATATAGAACTGGGGTACAGGCCAGAGGTGCAGGGGTGCTGAGAGACTTCACCAGAGACAGAGTGGGGAGCAGAACAGGCAGACTGTCGAAGTACACTGCTGAGGGGAGCAGCGGGCAGGCCAATAGAGGTTTGCAGCACCATGTGGATCACCTCCAGGGCAGGTGGGGATAGAACTCTTATGGAAGTGGC